AGTCGAAAACAAAAATAATCATGGATTGATTCTGAAAGCCCATCTACCTTTTTATCAGATTATAACATTTACAACACTTTTAAGTACAGACAGTTGTAGAGGGAAAGTGTAGGTTATATGTCTCTCAGCTGATGTCACCACATTGTATCAATAAAACGAATCTTGTTGGCCTTTCTATACATATATTCCATGGTCAAAAAAATAACATGATAAACTGAAAGGCATAGCTAGCTAGGCACGAGTCTTAAGTTTTTAAAAGCTTGGATTTGAATGAATAAATCTATTTAAAAACTTTGGATTTTAAATCTGTTACCACTGGCTAAAATATCTGGTTAATTCTTTTAAAAAAAATCTTTGTCTATATATATATATATATATATATATATATATATATATATATATATATATATATATATATACAGATGGATATAACAGACGGGTAAATAGAGAGATAGATATCTGATTTTTATTTTTAAAATTTATTTCTTTGTCTTTATAGATAGATACTGATTCCTAGATAGATGGATACGATGGACGGTTACATGGATAGATAGATGGATAGTAGCACAGACAATTAGTGAGGTACTCTGATAGACGGATAGACAGATCGGTGGGTGGAAAGAAGAACAGGTATCAGGACCTAAAGCCGTCGGACCTCTGATTGCTTACTAACACTTAGCAGCCAGGTAAAATAACCACCACTAACACAGTAACACATATAATGATAGATATGTACAGATAACTAAATTTATTCATCCCATGCAAATCCCTGATATTATAACTTGATTACAAAACAACTCCAAAACAAATAATAATAATAATAATAATAATAATAATAATAACACTGCAAACAAATAAAAGCGTGAGCACAATTTGTTTTGTAATTATCCGTCATTAGAATAATTGTAAAAAAATACCATAGCAGCACATATCATTAGAACCTTCGTCTCTTGTAATGAATTACACATCAGATCAAGAAAATCATCATCATAAAATTGCAGCATTCTTTAGAACAGAATATAAGCTGCAATACAATCATTGTCTACACTTATCAAAGTGAGACGAGACAAGTCAGATGTATATTCTTCAGATGGAATGTAGTTATCAATTATGAGACCACCTTCAAAGGAATATCACTCATAACTATACTATACTAAAAAGAATTGGAATGTGGTTTACTTTCACAAGTATTTTGATTTCAAACTTCTTCTTACATTTACCTGCATTACGGCTACAAATCAGTTGACAGTACCAATTCAAAAGAATCGAGCTTCAAAGAATGTTAGTACGAAAGAAAACGGAGGCTTTGGACACACAGGAATGTTTTCTTTATAAAGCAAAACCGAACTGTGCGGAAGACATGCCATTGGGATTATTTGTTCCACTGACTATATAATGTACTTCACCATAGGTTCTTAGTATTATCAGCTAAGTAAGACTGAAGAATTAACACTGTTCAAGAGATAACCATGTAGCTTCTCACAATCAATAGATCACTTTTCACTAACATGATCAAAATACATGCATACTTTTCAAAAAGATTTTCTTGACAACCTGAAAGCTAGTCCGAGACTTACCCAACATAGCAACAAGTAAGGTATGGAGACTGGATTGCGAGAACTGTAGCTAATTCATTAATAAAATCATGGGGAGATCAATTTTTTACACATGCTGGCTCAGTTCTATAGAGTCAATTACCACAGCCTCTTAAGGAAATAGCAACCGTTAACTCATTTACTGTAAGTCAAAACCTCTTTTGATTAATTATGTATTTCTACATTTAGTCTTTGTCATCATTCACGTATATTTCCTTAGACTATATTTGTGTCAACTTATTTCTTCGATGTACTCTTAATTGTATTGTTCATGTGCTCTGTATTGCAATTTGCATCTAATTATAGTTTACTTTTTTTCATGTATACTCTCAGCACCTGCCTTGAGCATTTCTGCAAAATGGATATGGCGCTTTACAAATACCGGTAGTCATTATTATTAGTACTTAGAAGTAGTAGAAGTAACAAGTCAAGAAACATCCATACATGTTAATATATCAGTAAATCGGTCTATAAGTCCAGTTTATGACATAAATACATGGACATATTAAAAGGTACATTGATAAGACTACATGTTCACAGCTCATTGTTGTTCTAAAAGATCACAGTTTCATAAAATGCTCAATTTTGAGTAAATGTAACGTAATTATCTATGACTCCATAATACCTTTCAATTGATACAATTTGATTCGGGAGCTAACATTTCAAATGGTATTATGAATGCCAGAAGGGCTTTAACTTGTATTAATTAGCGAACAGTTCTTTCCTTCTAATTCTTGACGGACTACCATGACTTGTTTAGGTTGCCTCAGCATGAAAATGGCAAAAGACCCTTAGCCAACAAATAGCTATATATAGTGACCCTTTTGCAGTGAGGCAAACAGCCATTTCTTAAAACAAGAATATGGGGCCTTCTCATTTAGTGAATATATATATATATATATTATTCATGTATATATATATATATTATATATGTATATAGAAAAAATAATCTAATGTTGATAATCCTCCGCCAAGGCAATATACAAATACAAATTAAATCAATTGAAATAAAAGTCCTCAAGAGTTCTCTTCTTCACTATGACCGGTTTCAATTTTATTTCTTCAGATAATCTGAAGAAAATAATTTGAAATAAACTTCAAACTATTCCTAGTGAAGAAGAGAACTCTTGAGGATTTTTATTGCAATTGTTTCAATTATTATATATCTTTATCCTGATAAATGCAGATTTCTACTCAAATGTGCCAGCTATTGTAATAAATGGTCAATGAAATGTTTGCCAAATCTCAGTCACATGACATCAATCTCAGTCACATGACATCAATCTCAGTCACATGACATAAATCTCAGTCACATGACATCATTCTCTTTGGACCAATCATTTGATTGCCCTCAAATTAGACAATGCACTATTAATAACATGTTTCTATCATTGTAAGAATACATACAGGCATAGAAATATGAATATACATTTACATCCATACCAGAGCATGCCATAATAAAATGCATGATACATTTGACTCATTTTCCGCTAAATTTCTCACCTGTTAAGTCCATAATGCATGTAGGTTTATATTGACCCCGCAAAAAAGGGTTTGGAAACTCAAGTATGATCGATTATACCTCTCTTGTCATGGCATTATCATCGCTATATTCAGTATCATTAAGAAGTGGGTTCAACCCTATTTAAAATGACACCCCATTAGTCATTATTTTAAGTCATGGAATGTACAGTAGATCAAAATGAAGGACAAAGTAAAAAGTGAAGAGTTACACTGCTCTTGTTCGAACTGCGCATTCAAATAGCCCCATTGTCCTTCCCTTCTCAACAGTTGTCAACCTAGGCATGATGCTTCAAAAAGTTGATCACCAAACAGTAGGGAATCTTGCCTGACTTAAGAATTTTGCATCACGGATCATCAGTTGGGAACAAAAGCGCCCGTGCCATTTACAAAATTCACACACTCTTACAGGTATGTCAAAGAAAAAGGGACTGCTCTGCACATCAACACCAGTGCTTTAAGCTTACCAGTTCATTGTGCAGCTTTTCTCTTTTGACCTGGCTGCCCCTTATTCTGATGTACTGCTAACTCAATGGCTCCAAAATCATAACAAATAAGGTATCACTTTCTAATGACAACAATCAAAGTGATGACTATAACATGATTGATCGAACTTGAGTTTCCAAACTATTTTGAGGGGGTTATATGACTGCCATTGATAAATGCATTACCATAGTCTAATAAAGGCTATATGTGATAAGGAAGCACTTACTTTAATATAGTTTACACACAATTTGAAAATTGTTCTGTACATGAAAATGCATTTATATATAAAATTTTGATTCACAGAAATAGCTAGAAAAATTAATTACAGTTACATGTATTACCTCATTGTGACATTGATTGTGATTTGTGACTAGACGTGGAAAAAATGCAACACTTCAAATTAAAAAAATCAGAACAACACTCATATATCAAAACATCAATCATACAGAGAAAATTGAATTATTTGTGGCGCCACAAACCTTGTAGAACCTCTCCACTCATAATATGCAAGTTTATACAGCACTTTAAAAAAAAAAACATCCTCAGAAAACATGAAGTCTGTTGAAACAATGCACCATTACTGATGAATAAATTTTGCGATATGACAAGCTTATTTTGCACCCTTTCTGTACCAGCAAGTTTTTTAACAGTTGTCAGAAATACGGTACACTTATCAAATGGTGGTTTGAACATGTTACATATCAGAAAAACTGGGCAGATAATATATTCCATAGGAATAACATTTACATGTATCAGGTGCATGGGAAACATATTATGATAATAATAATAGCTACATGTACAGGAGGGAATTCTCAAGGCACAGGTCTACAAAGTACCGGTAGTAGTATTACCCTGGCTTTTGACCACCTACCCTAAGGTGCTCAGAGCATTTCAGGGATAAATTCCTACCGGGTACCCGTTTACATCACCTGGGTGGAGAGTGGCAAATGTAGATTTATGTCTTGCCAAATGACATTAGTGCCATGGAGGGACTTGAACCGTGAATGATGTGACCCACAGTCTGGTGATATATCCACTTGACTATGAGGCATGACACCAGAGGGGTGTTTCACAAAGATCCCAAGTTAAACTTAACTCTAAGTTGGACTTAAACATTATGGAGAGCCATTAGTAGCCTAAAAAGAAAATATAATGAAAAGCAAAAGTTTTAGACTTTTCATATATTCCACATCAAGAACATGAAATCTCCTTGATAATAGAAAATATGAATGATTTAAATCAACATTTTATGCCTTTTATAATAACTTTTACAAAAATATATTCAAAGATACTAACAGCTTTTCATAATTGTTAAGTCCCACTTAGGATCTTTGTGAAACACCCGCTATACCCATTTTTTACTCTCAATTACAGTGTTCAACATTTAACTTACACTACTATAAAGAAGGGGTCAAACCCTCCAAACTAGCTACTTCAAACCCCAAAGGTTCCCCGACCTTTCAAACTTCACTATATACATGGTAAGGTCACTTCTTCAGAGGTTTCACTCCTGATATTACTTCTGTTCAAACAGCTAGGACCCAGAGACCAAAAGCCCATGAGACCGACAGCCTACAAAGATGACGATGTCGGTCCCACAGGCCTTCTGAAAACTTAAATGAGGCTGGTGGCCCATGATACCAACATGTCTGACTTGTGGGCCTACTGATGTGTTCTTGGGGTTTTATGAGACTGCTGTCGGTCTTTGTAGACAGTCAGTTTTCTGGGAGATTCCCGTTCAAAAACTCCAATCTACTGTAGATATTTATTACACCAAAACACAAAATTCTAAATGGAGTTATAAATCATGAACAGTTATCAATCTACAGTCCAATGTTGCTCCGAATTGGTAAAATAACTGCACTGCAAGTGTGAACTTATTCAAGACCTCAAAATAAAATAACAAGAGCAATTATCATATCTCAAGTGCAATATTGCTCCAAAAGTTGTGAAATTGAGCTAAAGCTGCAATCTAAACCTTTTCAAGACCTCAAAACAATTTTCTGCTGAAAAATTAAAAAAATAAAATGTGTAAGGTGTAATATCTAAATCATAAATTTGGCAGTATATCTATGAATGTATTCTCTTTGATCCTATAACATCTTAAAATTATATTTATTGCATAATTATATATATTGCATAAACATGGACAGAATAGTCATATCTACAGAATGAATCAGACAATAAAATGTCATCATAATCATCATAGGCAACAGCATCCTATGAATTGCAACAATAATGTGATGCATTTCAGCCATCTAATCATACAACATGTAAATATAAGGTACTACATTTTTCATAACCATATTGAAATTTTTCAGGCCAAAAATAAGAGTGTCCTGAACAATGAAAAGGAAATCCAACTTGATAGCTTTCCGATAGGATAAATTTTCCACCAATTTGTTTTTTGTTTTCATTGGTTATACAGTGTACACGTACATTGTACATGTACACGTATGTATTCATGTCCTAAACTTTTTGGACTAATAATTCTTCATAGTAAAAAATAAAATATCAAATTGTACACCTGTACTTTACAGCCATTATATATATATTATCTTTATAACATCCAATGGTATATCAAGCATTCATTTCAACTTTACTTCCAGAAATTCTTCATTTACATGTATTAGCCTCCAGCAGAAAAGTGGCTACAAATTTTCCAAATTCTGAAAGTGCAATTTAAGATTCTTTGTACAAAATGTAGAGGTTAAATAGTACACAGCTACATGTACATTGTACATGACATGTACCTGTGTAAAAGTGAATATTAGTGTAATTTTCTCTTACAAAAATAGATTTGCTTTTCAGCATATTTGTCATTGGTCATCTCCTCGATGTCCTTGCTGCCCTATCATCTTGGAATGATTTCACAATGAAAGAACATGTCACAGGAATGAAATCCTACTTCAAGTTTCATCTTCTAGTCTACAATCTCTAGTTAGAAGCCTCGTATCAAGGAAGACTGTTTTCTACGCTTTGATATTAAAGCTCATGTACAGTTTCAGTAGCAAAAAGGAAATTGTACACCTACATGAGTATAAATGATCCTTGTTTCAAAAGACATAATGTACAAGATGGTTTGGTATTTGATCCATGATAACAACTGGAATGGGCTACCCCAATCGACAGTCCAAGCACCAACAACTTTAAGTGTGAACTTGAAAAGCATTGGCATCACCATCCTCCCAGTGCTGTGATCGTCAAGATGGGCTCATAAGCTGATGCTTCAAGCCTTAACAACCAAGTAAATATAGATACTAGATAACGGCTATAGACTCCCCTTTGCTATGACCTGTCCACCCCAATGGCTCCTTGCATATCAATCTCAGCGCTTTGATTGGAGCCAGCGTGTGAGAAGACGGTAGCATCTACACACAATCCTGGTAGGTTTTACACCTTAGGATGGAATCTCTCATTTGTTTAATGTGTCATTCAAGGAGGAAAAACCTCTGCAGCAGCTTAGTATTGAAAGTATATTCCTATTTATTATCTAAAATCAAAGAAATCTGACTTTTTTTTTTCTCCTTCCCAGGGCTTACCAAAAATTGTACATCAGCTTTAAAGAACTACAACTTGACACACTTTACATGTACACATGTACGTCTAAGATTTCATGGCATCCATCTTAGGTAATGTAAGACTGCAGTTTACATGGTTATTTGGCGAGAGTTTGCATTAAGTGGCCCTGGCTTTGTGGGTGATATCCTGAGTAAAATTAAAGCTAGATATAGCAAGATTATCAGCACCACCAAAGTACTTACCCATTACGACATAGGCTGTAATAATGAACGCCACACTCCAAAAGAAAAAGGAGGAGACGAACATAGCATAGAGGGTACCAAAGAAGAGAGTTACCCAGAAAGTGATGACAAAGTATACCTTTGGGAGACACTGGGTGGAGAGGTTCTCTAGTTTACCATCTTCCTGGCCCTCAAAAGTCTTGGCGCCAGTGTAGAACTTTTCCAGACGGGCCTCCTTTTCCTTCCACTTCTCAACGCACCAGTTGTCCAAGTCTTCCTTGTTGTTGGGGAGAGCACTGACGGGATACTTGTGGATCAGGAACTCCATCTCCTGAGGCACGTTGCCTCTGAAGAAGTCGATCTCTCCCTTCTCCGGGATGACGTCACAGTATGCCACTGTCACATCGTAGACGGTGTCAATCTTCTTCATCTGCTTCAGGTAGTCCAAAGTGAAAGAGAAACCAGTGGTGTGAGGATGAAGAACATACTTGTACTTGGGAAGGTCATTCTTGGTGGCGTAGGCATCGCTGATCTCTCGGCCTGTCCGACAAAAGTTGATGCCTTCGGGAAACAGGAGGAGTTGAAAGTTGTAGCGCAACTCTGAGAAGTACTTGAGGACAGTAGTCATCCAGATGCGGTCTTTGGCCCATTGACGGGACAGGAAGATGAAGCAGGCAACCTGCATTGACCAGCCAATGCATGGTGCATTCTTGAGCTGAGACTTGAGGATGATCTTGAGGTCAGAGGAATTGGTTTGTCTCATCATGCAGGAGATAAAGAAGAGCCAATCTATCCTGGTCCGATGGTTCAGGATGAGCAGGCTACGCTCATTCGGCACCAGCTTGTCACCGATGGTCTTGAAGTTACATCCATAAAACACCTCCAGTAAAGACACAGGGAGCATCATCCACATGCCAATGCAGCGATCTGTGGCTCGACGGTAGATCTGCGGGGCAAGAATCATCAACGGCAGCATTGGACCCATCAAGATAACTGAGACCACAAAGGCAGAGTAGAATGATAGGAACAGGGTTCCAAACCCCTTCACCTTGGAATGAACCATCCTGGTAAAAGAAAATGAAAGGGGTAGGTTAAGAACCAAGTTAAAGTAAAGAGTGAATCCACTATTCAAAGGACAATTCCAAAATGACTAGGCTGCTTGCCTAGCCCCATCTGACTATTATCAATATAATGCTATTGCCACGAGTACACTCCACTATTTTATAAGCAACTTAAAAAAAGGCAACCTTTAGTCACTGTGATAAGACCTGTCACTGTTTCAAAGCAGTTCGTGCCCTAAACACAATGCAAGTTTTATCATGTTAAGTTGTTAAAACAATACATGCACATGTATTATCAGTTTATACTATTGACCTCGATACAAAAACAGACGGAAAGGTAAATGAAGGCCACCAAAGATTTATCAACTTTGAGCCATGCATGTACATGTACAGGTGGGCCAGGGGAGTGTTTCACAAAGACTAAGAATGACTCTAAGTTGGATTGAACTATTGCCGGCCGTCCATGCCACTGTTTGCTCTCACTATTTGCTGGCATTGGTCTCAAGGGGCGTACAAATCATGGTCAAAAATCTATAGAATATACATTTTTTTATTTATAATTCATTATTGAAGGAAAAATATTATTCAAAGATCATAATAGTGAGAGCAACCAGTGACATTAATGGCCTGCCATAGTTAAGTCCAACTTAGGATCATTGTGAAACGCCCCTCTGAAACACTAACTGTAAAAGTTCTTCAGCTTGGAACTTGATCTTTATTGGCTACATAAAAACTTTACAAAGCTTAGAATTTTTTTTTTAGATAAATTTATTTTGAGAGAGATGCATGTGATATGAAGACCCTTATCATGTACAATGTACATGTATCTATATCCTCATTAAAAATACAATAATCATAATATGTTAGCATCAATTTCATCTCAATTTAATTCATTTCAATTCAATCTTATACATCCAAATTAAGTTACGTGGGATTTTTTTTACAAGCAATTAAATACATGTATAAACAAAACAAAAGTAATAATTAAAGTACATAAAGTGATATTAGACATAGACAATACAGTACATGTATTTGTACATTGGAGTAAATATACTCATAGCATATAATCAATAACATTAATAACAGATTCAAAGGTGATAGGCATGGACAAAACTTAAAAAGCACTAAGAGTAAAAGGAGACAGATGAAGAAGGGCAGAAGAGGTCGGAAGAGAAGGGAACTGAGGGCAATTTTTTTGCCAGATTCCGACAAAAATCAGTGTGTGTGTGTGTGTGTGTGTGTGTGTGGCAAGGGTTACCGTCTGTGTATGGGGAATGCTGAAAAATGTCAGTTTTATCAAAGAATTTCCCATACTAGTTATTTCTGTCTACTATCATCTAAGAGCTAGAGTAAACACTAGATCAAGATCTAACGTTACTCATTAAGGCCTAACCAACGTTAGATCTAGACCTATAGTACATGTACAAATCTTTAATTTAAGAAAGTTTAAGAATTTGGCAATCATTAATTTGAATCTGAATCTGTTCTGTTCCAAGTCTTGATCCTCAAAGTTGGATATTGGTGACTATTAAAGGAACGTTCAAAGCAGTGTGTAGTGTGTTTACACTTGAGTCCGAAGTCCCATCACTTTACGATTGCAGGGAGGGATTACGTTTATATTGCCCCTTTAGATTGCGTCCCAGGGTCTGATTTGGAACGTTTTTAAATGCTACTGAACTACAGATAACAATGTAATATGGGAAGTAGACTCTAGGGCTTAGGCCTGTTAGTAGCCTATCCGATATGCGTCGGGCTTTACAAGTATACTTATCGCGTCAGGGAGACAGACATCAGCGCGGGCGTCAGCCCGAGCGCCTATCATCACTGGTGCATGCAAAAAGTTTTATTTTCTTTGATGTCCTTTGTTTCGTTCGTAGAAAATCTACCAACTCCCTGTAAAGCTCTTTCATGAATATTTATGTAGCACGGACCAAAATAGGCCAATGAGCGATGAGGAAACAGAACATGATATTTGATTGGTTGAATCAAAGTGATCGATCACTAAATAAGGCTAGTCTTATGAATCATGCATGAGAATACGCTCATCACAAATACGATACAAATAATATGAATAATGATGAGTTGACCAGTGATGATAGGCGCTCGGGCTGACGCCCGCGCCATAACGCGATCAGTACATTTGCCATAAAGCCCGACGCATATCGGATAGGCTACATGTAGCTTGTTAGTGGAACATGGATGGAAGGCAGAAACCGAGCCCAAAGTCGGAGGCTTGTTTTATGGTAGACAGAATTACTGTCTGGTTAAAGTATGGGGAATAAAATAAACTGAAATTGGTCAATCTTCTCTGTACAGAGGCGGTCAGTGGAGCCAGAAGTAGTCTCATTGGAACAACTGTTAAAAACAATATTAAAGGGTCACTAAATTACAAATTCATGTTGACTTTTGTTGATCTGTAATAATGTATACATCACACATCTTTTGACTCTTTGATGTACATTTATGTCATATAATTTATATTATTTTTATTTTATTTTACCTGCTACATGTAAGCTCCACCCCTAACAAAACCCTAAGAAAAACTAAGCACAATACATGTGCGTGATCTACATGTACATGTAGGCGCTGATCAAAACAAGTTCAGCTCAAACCCATTCAACAATATCAGAGAAATTTTACAATATAAATAATGAAATAAATAAATATTAGTATGGTATTTATTTATTCAGGAAAAATAGGGATTTCATATTTTTCCTATTGAAAATAAATACTTAGATCTAGATCTATAAAAAACAGCTATCGACGAGCCTGAGTCCCTATTCAAGATGGCAGCTTTCATGACTCTAACATTAGACAACAACCGTCTCGGAAAATCTTTAAAAAATATCTTTCATTGACAAATTGAAAACATGATTCTTTTAAAATTGCAAATAAAACACGATTTAAGACGGAAATACGACTGTAGTACTTTTCTTCACAAATATTTACGATTAGATTAGAGCAGTTTTTTAATGTGAAATTCGTGCTGGTCGGAAGCAGTCTTTTTGATCGGGAGTGGGCAAAAGTCTTCCGTCCGGCCGGACCGCCCAGTGCCGACCGCCGTGGCTATTAAATTAATGCCGCTTGCTATTATATTACCGAACCCCGAACCGAACCAAGTTGAAAAATTGCTGAACTCTGCAGAACCGAACCGAACACAAACATAGCGTCTGACTTACAGCACTACTTTTCAGGCAGCAAAGTCCGGCTCGCAACACACCAAAAAAATTGCCCATATTGACTTTACACACCGGACTTAAAAAAGTGGTGTTTTCAAAAAGAGGGAACGTGCAAGCAGCATAGACCTATGCGTACCCCAAATAACACTGATTTTCGGTGATCCGTGACATGACCGAGAGAACCCTTGCGGTTGCACAACACACTACACAGTTGCTATACTTTTACATGTAGATTGGCACTTGCACTGCAACTGCAGTTGCAGCGGTATCGAAGCCAACGGAGGAAGGATAATGAGGGGAAGAGGAAGAAGAAGTTAATTACAACATACTTACATAAACACAGGCAATAAAACCCTTTAAAAATTCGTCATGAAACCGCCTTTGAGCTAAAGTCTTAATTTGAATTACAGTGTGAAGATGTATTCGACTCCGATCGATCCGCACATATAACTAAGGAGCTGCCCCCAACCTGAACTAGTACAGCATTTCCTGCACACGGCTGTAGTCAATTTAACAAATGGTTGAGAGGCACACTTTTTATATTTTAGAAGCAAAGATTTTAAAAATTAAAAAATCAAATTGAATACAAATTATTTTTTAAATATAGATCTATAGCTATTTAAATTTTTTAAAATTATTTTTTTGAATAAAATAAGTTTTAACTACAAATACAAATTTACCTTATTTCGAGTGAGTTAGATCGTTCAAGAAAAATGAAGTATTGAGTTGCTGTTTATAGTGTGCTAGTGCAGTGCAGTCAGTGTGGCGTAAACACGGAAGTATCGTCGGAAAGCTAAGGGAATTCCATTGACAGTCAAGGACGTAAAGTCAGGTATGCGGAATAAATGTTCTTTTTTCCCCTTTCCCCAGCTAAATCATAGAAGCTCTTCTTCTTTTCATTTAATATTTTTGCATCTAATGTCGTGTATTTACAGTAGATCTAGACCTAGTTCCATCTTTAGATGCATCTTAATTTAGATGCATCTTTGGTCGTTGCGGGCAACGCAGTCCCACATGTGAAGATTTGTGTCCCTAATTTACCCCCCCCCCCCCCCCACTCCCCAAGTCATTTTTGCACAGTCATGGTTGTCAGGCGGTAATTTGCTCTGTTTGATTTCATGTGAATTGGACTAGTTTGCTTATCTGGCGCTTGTTCAGTAAGGTATCCAAAATTTGACCCGTAACTCCGGTGTGGAGATAGACTACCATACCCAAAATGAAGTAAATAGTCTAGAGTAAAGTACCCGGTTTTCGGCCACTTAAGACAAAATCCTATTTATTGGACTCTTTACTTCCTATTTATTATCATTTCTTGTTCAAATCATGAAGCAAATATTATTATTGTTTAAACAAAAAAAGAATCCCAAAAAAAAATCACGAATTGCCATGACAATATTCATTTCAATTTTCACTGTTTTGGAGCCGGTTATCGGCCGAGCGTTTCAGTTTACGGCCGCATGTACAAAGTCAATAGGAAGCGCTCGCGCGCGCCGTGCGTTTCCGCGCTGATGTATAGCACAAGCGGGCGGAGCAGGTATCCCACGCCGGAGCTCCCGGGTGCTCGCCTGACCGAATACAGGCACAGCGGTGATCGGAAGTTGGAATCTGAATTAGACGGACATATCGTGTGTGCGTCGCGGTGTGCGGCTGCATTGATTTAATACATGCGATGAGATACTTTTGAGCTTGCGACCAGCACAAAATCGGGCTCTATATCTGAAAAATACTTGAAATAAAGCTCATTTTATGGTACCCATATTTCTTACATACACGCGTAAGAAACTCGATTTTTCAGATTTGGGTAGCGGGACCGCCGATTACATCGCTAAAATGTGATATTTTAGGATATATTTTTCATTGCAAATGTGGTTCTTCAGTGACACTGGCATGGTATGGTATGTGTGGGATATGTGTTATGCTATTATGCGATGTATTTTAAAGTGATTTTACCATGTATCCAACCAATTGGCCGAAAACCGGAGCTGACCGATTACCGGGTACTTTACTCTAGGCCTATTCATTAAATGTCCAAATAAAGATCATGAGTTAAAACTAAAAGGCGTTATATTTATTACCTGTTTCGTGGCAATTTTCTTGTTATTTTTGGAGTATTTTTCGGGAAAACGATGATATTAGTATACACTTTTTCACAGGTTTCACGGCAAACCGCTGCACAATACAAGTGCATACTACACAGGCGCATGCCCGCGCCCGCAACCCACCATATATTGGAAAATCTTTTGAAAATATGCTATGTTTATATCTAAGGCTTTTTCCACTTTTATAAACTGATTATACATGTTTATTTCCATATTGTAAAATCCTCGAAGGGATGGGTAATCTGTATTCTTTAGTTTACAGACCCATATTGCTTTTGAGATAAATTCTATCAAATCAAATGTGTAAAATGAATAGTTTAATAAGATGTGTTTTAAAGAGAAGGTTGAGTTCTGGGAAGAGGTGAAAAATAATTTGTGAGCATTACTCATTCTTAATTATGCAAGTGAGGAAGAACATCAGTTAAGACATGTTCCCTGAAAAGCATGGCTCTTCAAATGCCTTCATATTCTGAATATGCATGTATTACATCGTAAAAATCGGGGGGGGGGGGGGCGGCTTTTTACGCCACGTGTTCGTGTAGTCCCATATACATCTTTCTGTGCAAGTGTTTGTAACTTTACCAAGACTTGGCCACATTTCTTATCATTTTGATGATTCCAGAACATTGCATTATACACAAATTCTTATATGCTAGATGATCAACCTTTTCTGGTTGGTTCCACACCGTTTCTTTCACAATGCAATCGCATGACCAGAACTCAACTTCATCTTTAACCTTTGGAGTGTCTGAAGTTTTGTCATTTAAATAATTTACTGATGCCTAAAACATTGGACAAAACTTTCAAAACATTGTATTTTTACTAAGAATAATTTAAGGGTGTATTTTTATAAACTATCAAATGAAAATATCCGGGGGGTACCCATCTAAAGAACAAAACTGATTCACCGGTCATGTAATGAAATACTCACAATTATATAGTTAAGACTTCTTAAAATGGCAAAAAGAAATCTCAGATTAGAGAATTAAAAAAAATATCACTAGATAATGATATATTTTTTATTTTACTGTACATGTATGTTTGGTTTTGATATGGAAGTCGACACACGTTTGACTTCCATGTATATTAAGTAAGGAATATTTCTAAATGACTATTCTATTTCTTTGTTTACTTATATAGTTTATGTTAAAGAGTATATAATGTAGTATAGTAAAAAAAAAAAAATAAAAAAAAAAAGTTTTTAAAATTCTTGCCAAAGACAGGGAACCAGACTCGACTAGCACTTGTGCTAACTTCTTGTACCCCCTTTAACAACAAAAATGTACAAATAATATTTTATTCCATTTGTATACGACATACTTTGTAAAACACTATTTATATTATTCATGTGTTATGTTATTGATCTTGTATTATATTGTTATATTTTATGTAATCATGCTTGATACATTATGTTTTACTTGTTATTATTTTTGTTGTTAATAAACTCAAATTCAAAACTCAAACTCATATTTTACAAGTACTTCTATTGTATAATCTACACACATTTTGAAGTATATTGCATCTCTTATTTCCTGGTACTACTTTCCATCTTTTTTATTCCTCATTCATTTAAATAATGGCAGTTTTCCTAAAATTACTTTTTTTTTAAATCTGTTGGTATTGGGACTAAGGCTAAGTCTCGGCTCCTCTTCTCGCCGATAGTATCGATCTCACAAGATATCTATCTAGTAAGCTCTTTGTGAAACGGTTTAGGAAGATCAGAGACATCTCCGTAGTTGGCGGATAAAGTTATGACTGTCTTGTCGTTGGTTTCTAGGAACGAACTCCAGTCTACAATGTACATAGAGGCGGTCAGAGGAGCCAGATACAATCTCAGCGGAACAACCGTCGATATCAGAGACTGAAGCTTTCAGTCTACTTAGACCCTAGACTAGGGTGTCTGAACGATTTTTCAATCTTCAATTTGGGATCGTGTTTCACCATTTTTGTTGGATATTTGAATAAAAAATGTAATCAGAATAATACATTTCAAATTTCAAGACTCACCAATGTTTCTATCAAAAGATACAGCCCCCCCAAAACTCTGCAATATTCATAGCATTTTGCTCAGACTGGACAAAAAAGTGCTGAGTTATCATGTTTTTGCTACTAATGCATAAGGCGATATGCAAAAAGTGGGGGAAGGGTATTTTCAAACTTAAATCGTATGTGATCCCTTGGGGCTAGCGAAAAAAAAAGAACATCAACATATTCCTTATGACTTGAACTAATTATCCCTCAGGTGGTCGATTCTCAAATCTCCCGAGTTGCCATGGAAACAACATTTAAATCGCTGTTTTGACAAGATATTTTTAGAAATCTGAAATGACACCCCTTTAGAAATATGGGGATTAATCTGCCCTTTCATATGACACCTTATTTATTGAGTATCACCTTCAGGATCACAACAGATAAAGGTATGAATCTAAATTTATTTTTAAAAACGTTGACCAATTTTGCAATGCACATAGACTGCATAGGGATGTGTGCAATGTCTATGGGAACTCACTATGAATATGACGGACAAAGAAAGCGGACAATATATACAGTTCCTAAGGTAGACAAAGGAACATCCCTTCACTGCTATTATGTAAACATTTGTAGAACAGGTGAATACATGTATGCATGTGACACCTGTTCTACACATTTTTACATAATAGCAGTGAAGGGATGTTCCTTTGCTTACCTGAGGAACTGTATATTTTGTCCGCTTTCTTTGTCCTTCATATTCATAGTGACTTTTGATAAGGATTAACAGGGATTAACAGATGTCGAAAAATGTCACTGCTAACAACTAGAAAATATAATCAAAAAAGATGATGAGAGCCAAAATTGAAAGATGACATCATTTTTAAGCCAAGATTTCATAAAAATTGCGACATCAAAATATGAAGAAGAAATGAGTCCCTAGTCCCTTATTCTGACAGCACTAGGACACGCTGTCGAGCTTGTTCTCAGAGTGTAGTAAATCATGTATGAGTACTGTATGAGAAGTGTTTTTATAAAGATATTTCAGTAAAAATGACTGGATAACAGTCTATACTGCCATCTTCTCATCTGGTTATGGAGTACAAGCTGTACAAGTTTTATGTGAATGGATGAATGAAAATGGGCTAGTTGTTAACACAGACAAAACTAAAGTTATGTTATTTTCAAGTCGAAGGAAGAAGAATCCAGTCAAATTACAAATAAAAATGGATGGTAAACTTATAGAAAATGTAACAAAATTTAAATATCTGGGTGTTATTGTAAATCAGAACTTAGATTGGTATCCCCATGTCAATGATGTTGTCAAAAGGATTATGAACTCGCTTATACATGTATGTATGTATGCGAAGGATTAAGCACTGTTTGACAAAACGTTTATTTACTCATACTATTTT